TTAGCGATATGCTGCTCTTCTGGTGTTTCTGGTTAAAGTACTTGTACAGGCTCATTAAACTTGATTTGGTCACAGTAGGAAAATTTTGCTCTCATTTTAGTCGTCAGTACTTAGTAGCATAGTTGATTGTGTCAATGTCAACCCCAGCGTGCGCATGGCACTTAAACCATGTCTTGTGCGATGCACAGAAGGTGTGCGCACTAATAAAAGTAGGCACTGTCCTTAAGAGAAGTTTCCCAGAGTCTACAGCAAAGGACTGGGATCATGTGTACTGACAGCACTGCAGTCAAGTATCGATCGATACCCTCGATCGACCCTCGATCGTTATGCGATCTGTTAAATACTGAGAAGCCCTCCGATGGTCTCTAAAAGTCATACATGACACGATTGACACTCCATCGACACCTTGGTTGACACTTGATCAACACTCCATTGACATCTTGGTTGACAGTCGTTTGAGAGTCGACTAATTTTTGATCGAATCATATTAGTTGGTCGATACTCGGCCGGCTATAGACCGACTGTTGATCAAGTGTTGACAGAATGTTGACCAAGTATCAATCGGGATTTTGATCAGGTATTGATCGAGATGTCGATCAAGGGTATCGATTGAGGGTATCGATCGAGACTCGACTGGGGATGCCTGTAGTACACATGATTGAAAGACTGAAGGATTTGGGACTGTGAGCATTGCTAAATATAATTTAATGCCATGTGACTTGTAATTAATGAATTCATTTTTAGTTCAATGCTGTGTACCAGGGGGTTTCCTTAAGGAAAAGGCACCAAACAAATTGACTGGCTAGGGTGCAAAGAAAACATTTTTCTTAGTCTTGCCCTTCAGGCAATCTCTATCTACAGTACTATGATGTACTATCCCATAAATCATTCTTACTACATGTATCCCCAAAAAGATCTCTACTTATACTACTGTAATAGTTTTGAATTTCTGCAATTGAAATTTTCCTAAGCAACTTCACTTGCCCATTCAGCTAGTAAAGGACAGAATCCACTATCCTGACTGGATAATCCACTAGTCCCAGGCTATCGGCCAGCACTTTCTTTCCACACTGTAACTAGGGAAGGGGCTATGGGGGCTCTGGGTTAAGGTTGAGAGGTAAGGTAAGCCAGGTAAGCCTGAATAGCTCTCTGGCCAGTCAGCCTGAATGGAGCATGTGTACTAAAGGCATCCACAGTCGAGTGTCAACTGATACACCCAATTGACCCGCAATTGACTCTTGATCTGGAACTAGTTGCGGGGCAAAAAATTCTTGTAACTGTATGTAAGAAATCAAAATCAAAATTGTAAGTTCAACAGGTAAAGTTCAAGTTTGACTGAGGTGTCAATGGAGTGCTGATCCATATCGAGGGTGTCAATCAACACTCGACTGCGGATGCCTTTAGTACACATGATCTGCCTGAATAATGCTCAGGTTACTGACCCTGCTTACAGTAAGCTCTCAACAATGATAATGATAATGACAACACCCTAACCTCCTACCTTTCACCCCTCACCTGTCAACCTGTCAAGATTTTTCCAGCCTGGTTAAGCCCTGTAATGGAGATTATTTCTTATGAAGAAGTTCACTTCAAAACTTGGCTTGGCTGTGAATAACAATAATATTGCCTTCCTGTTGAAAACCTTTATGAAGCCACCTGTGTTCATGTAAATGTTGCCAAACGATCTAAGTTCTTCATTTGTTGCTGATAGTAAAAGTACATGTAGATGTACTCTTAACCAATACTTCTGATTGAAGATGCATCTGTAGAAAAACATTTTTAAAGAAATTATATTAAATGCTTGCATATGACATGTCATTGTCATCTTAGTGCCATTCAAGAATGAAATTTTCATTGGAGACAAGACGCTACTAAAATATATGAGTTTTAATACATGTATGTCTTTTAAAATATTCTAATAGTGTTGTTTTTATTATTTGCTGCAAAATACTTGCTGTGTCTTTTTTCAGTGTTATTCAAGATGGCATACAGGAGAATATCTCAAGGAAGTATTGAGACTACTTGAAAAGCCAGTTAGTCCTAGGAATCAGAATCCTGTCGATGTAAGGTATTGATTGATATTTCCCTATGAGTATGCACTTTTTAATATGCGCGTTGGAGGGTACTGGTGGATGCCCTATGCTCGATTCATTTAAGTCCATCAAGACTTGGCTGACTATTGACTGACTGTTGATCAGGGATAGAGTGTTGACAAAGTACCAATTGGGATGCTGATCGAGTACTGATTGAGATGTCGATCAAGAGTATCAATCGAGAGTATGGATCAACACTCGACTGCGGATGCCTTTAGTACACATGACCTGCGTTCATCAACTAATTACATGAACTTCTTTAACACCACTAGTAGAGCTCTACATGCATGCCAAGCTAACCCAGTAATAGGGAGCTTAAGAAAACCACATCGGCAACAGCAATGGCAACATCGCTAAACAAAAGATTTATGAGCGGAACAATGGCTGTGCACGTGCATTATAATTCTTAGTTCATTTCTTTGCCGTCCTCTGCAAAACAACAACGTGAAATGACCAAATTCTGCATTGTCTGGAGAATGTGAACCACGACGGCTGGTTTTTTAAATTTTTGTTTTGAGTTAATCGATGTGTCCTGGATTCAGTTTCATGATGGCTTTGACAGTGATAGACAAATTAAATGACTCTAGAGTACCACGAGATTTGTAGGTAAAATATAAACCCATTTTTTAATCAACGCTGTCCTCGATGTCGCCACTGTGGTTTCTTAAGCTCCCTAATATTCAAGCAACACCAGACAATAAAGAAAA